GTTGGCATCAGAGAGACTAAACGAAATAAGCAGATCTCCTGGTGGGAGAGCTATCAAAAAAACAACAGGTTTTATGGGCGCTAGAATTAGGAAACAGATTAGCCAAATGCTTAATTCTCTCCTCCTTCTTTGACCTTACTTTCACTGTTTTGTTTTATTAGAACTTCTTTTCCTTGGTGTATAGTGCGACAGAACCATCATTCACGAGGGAAAAAGAAGTGGAAGAATACAAAAATCAGATGCAGGTCAGGAAAGTATAAAGTAGAAATGTCAGCCAGTTCTCTCGATGTATTGTAGTAAGATGTATGGTGGAAGTAATATGGATGTGAAGGATGAGAGAAAGAGAGAAATTTAAAGGGGCATTGAGAAAATCTTTAGTATGCTTAGCTGTTCACTCACATGCCCCTTCATATATTGTCAACAATGTTTGTTAGTATTTCTTAAACATCACATCGTGTCATCTTCTAAAATTTCAGGTCTCAGTTCACATATAAAAGAAATGAGTGAAGGGGAAGGGGAATTGCCCCTTCAGCTCCAGTCTGCTTCAGTCTCAGCCTCAGCCCAGCCTCAGAATGGTTTTTCAGCACAAAAAGATAGTCCATTTATGTTATTTAACTGTCCCACCTGCTAGTGACCTTGGTCACCCTCCCACCCCTCTCCACTGCCAACACTACAACACAGAAACTCAGCATTGTTATGGAGGCAACGGAAGAAGGGAAGGACAGAAAAAGGGAGATGAAAAGGCCCACCCCACCACCACAACACTTCTGATAGTGCTGCACATGTCCCCATCCAAAAGAATAAGGAGAGTTAATTAACCCCAAAGCTGTACACATGAAAAGCTTTTAAATACATGTATAGATTTCACTCCAAGGAACAACCGGAGAAGCCAAAAAATTCAAAATTTAATATGTTCGACATCAGAGGCCTTAGGGTATCTACTAAGTGCTCCCACATACATCTGAAATAAAAATAAAAAATAAAAAAGAATTACAATAATGGTTCAAACCCACAAAATAAAATGAAAAAAGCAGCAGCATATTTGAGTCCTCTCAGTTTATGGGAAACATTATCATCCAAGTAGGTGACAAGAACCTGGGATTTTGGAGGGGGAAAGCCGCAGACCTGTTCTTTGGGGTCTCGGACTATGGGATTTGGGAGAAGGGGTGGTTGGATGATTTAACTGCAAGAGGAAAGCTCGAAAAAAATATGAGCATGGTGCTAGAAAGGAACTTGATTGGTTTGGAAAATTCTGATCTTCCATACATTATTGCGTCCTTTTCAACGAACAGACGAAACCCATTTGCTGCATCTGTTTTATTAACAAAGTGAAATGTTTTTGATATTCCTTACAATTACAATAGGGGTTTGAGATTGGGATGGGGATAGGTATTTAGTGGTGCCGGTAGGCATTTGGTGGCAATGATGGTAGAGGCTTTACCAGTGGTGGAGATGGGGCGGGTCGGTTGGCAGACTGAAGGGAAAGGGGTGGGATTTGGAGATGACTCGGAATTTTTTATTCCTTTTTAATATTTTTGGGTCTCATTTTCCTTCTTTTTGTATTTATGTTTTGTTTAGTTTTAAGTTAAGGACAATTTTATCTTTTTTCTACTTAAACCCATTATGGAACCCTCACTGGGGACAGTAGCCACTAGTTTATAACAGATTGGGGACCAAGAAACATTGAAACAAAAGGCTAGGGGTAGGAGTCCAAATGGGGATGAAAAGGCTGGGGACGATGACAACAATTTAGCCGAAATTATACATGCAAGCATTGATCTCCAAACTTTCATCAGAAATTTACATGCTTCAAGACTTAAGTCCGGTTGATTGCAAATATGAAATTTGAGTGGAAAGAAAACAAATTCCAGAGAATTGAATTGCTTAGAAATTATTTTACTGGGAATTGTCAATTATTGTGTTTGATTAGTATAATTTTTCACGTAAAAAATGTTGAAATAAAAGTATTTTTTAGTATTCGTTTGGCTTTGTTTTACATGAAAATTATCAATTATAGAGATATAATTTACTAATATTGGGGATAAAATTTGTTTCCATTACTCAGAAAAAAAATCTATCTTTTGGTGTTTATTTAACTTTGTTTTATATGAAAATTGTCAATTAAAGGAAAATATTTTTTTACAAGTAGGGATAGAATTTGTTTCCATTGCCAAAAAAAAAAAAAAAGACACACAGCAACTAAGAAAACCAATTCGCAGCTAACCCAAGAATAGCAACTAAGAAAACCAATTCCCTGTTAACCCACAGGAATACAAATTCCTCATTTTCGTGGAAAATAGGGTCACGTGCCAGAAAACTAGAAAACAAATTGCCAGGAAAATATTGCCGATCAAACATGGCAAAAAGTGGAAAATGGCATTTTCAATTCCAACTTCCATGGAAAATATAGCGTATCAAACGGAGCCTAAGAGTTTAACTAGTTATAATAACTTACAGCTGTGAGGCATATCTATAACTTTTGCAGTGACACCAAGCAAATCAGCACCGGAATACCTCTGTAAGATATGCAAAGTAATTTATCATTCACAGGGAAAACTAGCCCAATAAATTAACACTAGTATAAGACAAAAAATAATGTATGAAAATCAGGAACTTGCTAAATTCTTATCCCATGGTACATTAACTCTAAAAATTTCTATCATTCCAGTTGACATAGGACAGAGATCTTGAAATTGGAATTCACATGAAGTCAATTTTCAAATTTGAAAGAAACTGTTCTATTCTAATTTTGGTCCCTCATTCTAGGATGCAGAATGCAGTTTAGAAGTTATTGGGCAATTCCAACATATGAACATTCTTCTGTGCTAATACAGGACTTACCAAATGCATTTCAATCATTGGGACCTCTGAGCTCTTTCGGTTGATCACAAAAAGCCACGGGATATAAAATTTCTCTCTTCCAACTTGAAATGATCTGCATCACAATCACTTATTACAAATCAAAAGAAAAATCTGATGGCAAACATTATACCATCAAAACAGAGTTAAACGAGAGTTCTTAAGTATATTAGACTAGCTATCCATTCAGGATTTTTCACAGTGTAAACTCCTGATCCACATACTTATACAGGCCTGCAGGATGAGTCAAAAGCACTTTCACTTTTACCACAATAGGAAACAGCACGAGCTGAAGAGATTGCCCAGAGCCATTTCAAGATATAGATGGTCTAGATACATATGATCTCTTAGGGGCCACCTCAGAGTATCTAAAGGAACACAAACATTCTATTGGATGTAAATAGTCAAAGGAATGCTGGGTCTGGATGATATAAAAAATAAGCCAAAAAATACTAATGCCTTGTAGCTTTTAGCATGAAGTGACAGAACTAGTCATTCCAAAGTCGTAAGACCATGTATGGGGGCTAATGCCCCGCCCAATGCCGGAAGATTAAGAAGGTTGATGACTTGATGACAGGGGAGCTGACGACAGAAGCCTTGAAGAACAACGGCCGTAATTATAACGGTTCCAAGGTAGCAAAATTCATTGTTGGGTAATTTCCAACCCACATGAAAGGCTTAACGATTTGGGCACTGTCTCAGAGAGAGGTTCGGTGAAATAGACATGTCTGTAAAGATGCGGAAACAACTGATAAATCGTTCCCAGTAAGAAGATTGGATCAACTAGCAAAAAATTAACTCAACATCCCGATGTATAAAATGAAGATATACCTACTATATCATATAATTAGTTTGTACATATAAGGTCAAAGGGTTCCACAACAACAAACTAATCCTTCACAGTAAATTTGAGGACAGAAGCACAAATCCTTCTGTATCACTCCATTCAGTTCATTACTAGAGCAACTCAAAGATTCAAAGCAACTAAATTCTAAGCAGCCACAGCATCATCTTAGTTTTGGTCTACCCTCCCTCTTCCAACATGTTCGCCTGATATCACGTCATGTAAAACACCTCATTAAAAATTTAAGTCACTGGCCAAGCTCATTTTAGTAGTATTGAAAATCTTTTACTAGAAACTCAAACCTGTTCTTATGTATTGAACAAGAAGTATATTGTGGATGGTAACAAAATCAATGATGAAATTCCACTTCTAAACATGCGTTGCCAAGGGATTTAGATATTGCAATTTTAATCTAAGTCATAGCTCACCAAAAATAACTTACAACCATACAAACAGCCACACATTAAATTGGCAAATAACTTGCTTAAAGATTGAAAACAGAAAATCCATTTCCCGAATTTCCCCTGAAGTATCAATTTCCTTTCCTAGCCTCTTAAACGTTCCACATTTTTTGGTCATTTCCACCACCAAGGCCTAACTGAACAATGAAAATGTCAGAATATTCAAAATAATAAAAATGTAAAAAAAGAAAACTTCGTTTGAGAGGATATTTGAGGCTCACATTTTATATGGATCAGCTCCAGTATAACCAGTGGGTTTCGGTATCGGAATCAACGTCTACAACCCCAGAAATAATACGGAATTACAATTCAGAACAACAATTTTTCAAAAGCAAAACAATCTTATAATAGAGTCAACTGAATAAAAACAAAGAATGAGAAGATTACCTCGCGATTAACAGCGAAGATTGGGCAGTGCCTCCCTATCATATCGTGCCAAACCGTCCTAGTCTGCATAATTTAACCAAACAATACATATATATTAATCAATTATAACATTCGCTTCGCATATCTACCATTCGAAAGATAGAAAGAGAAAGGGGGAGAGAGAATCACAGAGTGGTATTGACCCATGCGGCTCATAGGAACGATGTCTCCGGGTCTGTAAGCAAGTGAAGGCGGTGCCATTAAAATCATTTGTAGTAGAATCAACGCCATCGCCACAGTGGCAACTCTGCAATTTCTCTCCATATTCCTTAATCGCCGATCAGCAATCAAAGAGAGTGTGTGAAACTTTACGTAGTCCTCCTAGCAATGCTCGCATTTTTCGGATACATAGAAAGTGCGTTTTTAGCCCATCTTAATGTCGTCAAGGGGCTCTTTGCCATGGAAAATGGAAATTGATTTCCACCGTAAACAAAAAATGTATGTTTGATTGGTTTTTTTTTTTTTTAGACAATTCATTTTCCAAAACTTTCATGCCACCTCAACCATTTTTCCCCAAATTGATTATTTCTACGCTGCTGGTCAATTTTTTATTTTTATTTTTTTGCAATAGAAACAAATTATATCTTTAATTGTAAAAAAATATTTTTCTTTTATTGACAATTTTCATGTAAAATAAAATCAAACGAATACCAAAAGATAGATGATTTTCATTGCTTTTTTTTTTTGAAAAATGAAAACAAATTCTATTCCCAATGTCAGTAAATTCTATCCCTTTAATTGATAAATTTCACGTAAAACAAAGTCAAACGAACACCAAAAGATATATGTTTTTCTTGAGTTTTTTTTGGCAATAGAAATAAATTATATCCCCAATATCTGTAAATTCTATCACTTTAATTGACAATTTTCATATAAAAAAGTCAAACGAATATCAAAAAATATTTTTATTTCAATATTTTTCATATGAAAAATTATATCAATCAAACACAATAATTTACAATTCCCAACAAAATAATTTCTAGACAATTCAATTCCCTGGAATTCGTTTTCTTTCCACCCAAATTTCATCTTTACAATTAAACGGATCCAATTGACAATTCTCAATAAAACAATTTTTAGGCAATTCAATTATCTGAAATTCTTTTTCTTTCCACCCAAATTCCATGTTTATAATTAAACGGACCTTAATAAACATTCCATTCTCTCCTATTTTCAACTACACAATCTTTCATAATATCCCTCATAGATTGAAAATTTTTCCTTTTTTCCAACCACTCATTTGAAAAAAAATAAAAATTTAAAAATTTAAAAAATAACATTGTTCCACTCATTTTCATTTCCATATCGTTTTTTCGAAAATATGCTACATGTGACCTTCCATCCAATCCTACATGCTTAAAAAGGAGAGTTGACACCGCTGTTTATTTTTGTCGTATAAGTTATTTTCCATCAATTTACAACTTGACATATTGTGAAAAAGTAATTCAATTTAAAGACCATGTGTGCTGCTTAACATCAATTTAAATAGTAATGAGAGTCCTTCTTTAATTATCAACATGACAACAACTGCGAATTAAAGGTTTGGCAACGAATAACTTCCTTCATAGGGATGACAATTTACCCCATCCCGCTTCAAATTGGGCAAAAAAACCTGCTTCGAACTGGTTGGCAAGACGAGGCGTATCAAGGCAGGGAGCTTCGCCCAATAAAGAAAAAAAATAAAATAATCAAAAATAATTTTATTTCTAAACAATTTACTCATTAAAAATCAATTTTGAATTTGTATTTTATTTTCTAATAATAACATAATTCGAAACTTTCAAAATGTTAAAAAAATAATTAAACGGGGCAACAAATGGAGCAAAAAATTGCCCCATCCCCGCCCCAGTCTAAGGCGAGGTGGGGGTGCCCCGCCTCGAACCCACTCTGTTGCCATTACTATTCCTTCAATCAAAGACAATTTACTGTTATTAATTCCCATTTCTCACGATATATTTTTCACTCTTTTTTTAATCATACATTCTTTGTTAAAATAATATTACCCACAAATCTAAAAAAAAATCTTATTTTTTAATCACACATTTTACATTTTCTAGATATAGTAACAGAAGAAATGGGGATGGGCCACTGGGCTCTCAGAAGAGTATTATGTAACGAAAGCTTGAAGGTAAAATTTTCGACAAAAAATTAAAGATTAAAAATTTTACAATGAGCATCGACTTTAGATGTTTGTTTGATTGGTTTTATTTTTTATGAAAAACATCAATTTTCCATTCAAGTATATACATACATACATACATACATATATATTTATATATTTATTTTGCTGTTGAAAATATTTTTCAAAAGTTGGTAGATTTTTATTTTTCAAGTTCTTACCATGTTTTCCTCAAAATCAAAGAAAACATTTTCTTTAGTAGAAGGTAGATTTTATTTTTCAAGTAATTCACTTTTTCTTTCTCATCTACCCCATTTCTCTCTTATTTATCCACTAACAAAAGATGAAAATGTACAATATAGGTTAAAAATTAAGTCAATAAAATACATCTAATTGACAATTTATATTCAATTATTTAGAACTAATTTTATTCCTAGACAAGATCCATACTTGCAAACAAACACATCTTAAATGTAATTTATACGAATTACATCCTTAATTTTATGAATTTTGCAATATATACATCAAAATTTACATAATGAATTATATAATATCACATAAAAATCTATCATTTATCAATTTAAAACATAATCAATTTTTTAATCTAATTTTTTCCATCCATATTATATTATGTAATCCATTTTCTATATTTTTCATGTACAAGTAGCAAAATCTTACTTTTATACCACTAGAACCAAAACCCCGCTCACACACAATCTTTTCCCCAACAAAAGGTCCAATGCATAGTTATCAAACCCGGCCCCGATCGACAGTTCGGGCTGAGGAATCGGTCACTCGGAGTTTGACCGAGTTAACCCGCGCAGTTGATCGATTTAACCGGCTGTTTTCTCACCAAATCAGGCCGATTTTTATTCCAAACCGGGATGTTGACTGTTTTGACCGAATTTCAACAATTTTTTCTTAAACATTTGGCTTTCAAAAGACTTAAGACTTGAACCTTGGACCTCAAGGTGGGATGGGCAATACCTAACCACTGAAACTCAATAGATTATTGTTACCTATATATATATATATATATAGACACCATTTGCTACAAGAATTTTCTTGCGAATAATTTATTACAAAGACTACTTTCAAAGAAAAAGTTTTGCTCCCAAATTAGTATCCCAAATAATCGTGAATTGGTATCAGAGCCTATAACAGTCAAAAATTATATAGTTTATGAAAAGAATCAAGTATTTAAATTTAGAAATTTTAGAAAACTGTAAAAGAAACGTAGAAGCAGCTTCTCTAATCTGTAATTTTGATAATAAGTTTAGACATACTTTACATAGTGAAGATAAATAATTAAATAGTATTGTAGACTTACTTGTAAATTTAGGAGAAAATTTAGAAATGAACAATTCAAATAAAAGAGTAGAAACTTTATTAGAAAATATAAATAAAAATATAAAGATTTTAGAAACTAATCTAGAATATATTAAAAATCAAAATACCGAAATACTAAAAAGAAAATCTAATAATATAGGAAAAACAAAATCTAGTCCTAACCTAGAAAAATTGGAAAGCATAGTGAAAGCATTAGAAAAAGAAAAGTCGACAGACAATATACAAGATTTAGATAATTTGATAAATAAACTAGAAAAATTAGATTTAAGTAAAACTAAAGAACCTCGTAGATTTAAGAAAACTAAGTAGATCTATACATAATGGATAAATGTAAAATATGCAAAATATACCCAGGACACAAAATAGAAATCAGTTTAAGAATTATCTAGAAATTCAATGTAATAATTGTTTAGGAATTAAAGAAGAAATAAATAATAATAAAAATAAAGACTATAGTGAAAGTATAGAAAGATTAGAAAATAAAATACACGAAACATTAGAAGAAATACAATATAGGATTATAAATCTAGAAACAAAAGGAAAACAATCTATAGATAATTATATAGAAAATAATTATTTGGAAACAAAAAAAATAGGAAGAAATAATTTGTCAAATATCTAGAGTAAAGACAACAAAAAGTATCAGAATACCTATAGAAGTACAGATAAATAAAATAATAACACACTGAAGAAAGCACAAAGCACATCATCGCACTTGTACTAAAAAATCTCTTCACCATCTTTGTAAATTCGAAGGCATCTTTATAAATTCAAAGACTTTTTAATTAAATTAAGTTATTTTTCATATCTTCTCTTGTTTATAATTTTCGTTTACTTTAGTTATTTCTCGTCAATTCACGATTATTTGGGATACTAATTCAAGATTATTTGGGACACCAATTCATGATTATTTGGGATACTAATTCGGGAGCAAAACTTTTTCTTTGAAAGTAGAGCAAGACTTTTTCTTTGAAAGTAGAGAAAGACTTTTTTCTTTGAAAGTAGTCTTTGTAATAAATTTTTCGCAAGAAAATTCTTGTAGCAAATGGTGTTTGTCAAAGAAAGAAAATGAAACGCTTTGAAAGTGACAACTAAAATGATACTAATTCAGTAGCAAGAGTTCAAAGAAAATTTTGAAAATGACAAGTAATAAAGTTTTCTATGTGAATACCAATTAGAACAACCAGAAACTAATAAAATATTCGGGTGGCAATTAATTCAAAATCTTGTTTTTTAATTTATAAACGTTTTGAATACCAAATGTTTCCCAGAATTTTTCTTTCCTAGCAATAAATATTTGTAGATATTTTTTTTTGTAGGAAAATGACAATTAAAAGAAAGACTTGTAGCAAAAAGTATTTCAAAAAAATTTTCTTTCGAAAATTTACAGACGTTTTGAAAACCTAGGAATAAATAAAAAGTCTACTACCAATTAATTTTTGAAGACAAAAAGTTTGAAAAATTCTACACCAATTTAGTTTATCTTTGCTATTAAAATTCAATAGCTAAAAATGTCTAACTAGTTCTACTGAAATATTTTAATTATTTTCTCTTATAATATTTGCTCATTGTTGTCTTTCTTTACAATCTTTTATCAAGAAACTCCGACACTGAGAAATGAGAGCTTAGTGATTTGCTTCTTGATCTGTAAAGAAGAGTCACCATATATTTCTATCTAGAGCAGATAAATTATGACTTCCTACAACGACTAATCTTCCTATTTCTCTATTTTCTAAACAAGTATTAATATATTCGTTAAAACTTTTCAATGAACAAGTTAGTAGGGCAGTGTAATCTAAAGGTATAAAATATTAGAATTTTAAAACGATATGTTTGTAATGGCCTTTGAGTATTTTACCGTTCAGCAAATTAATTTTTTTAATTTTTTTTTTTAACTCTCTCTTAGC